TTGTGTCTGCGGCGCAAACAGAAATTTCAATAGAAAAATTGCAAAAGCTTCAGCAAAGCACTTCTGATCCAGGGTTTGAGAGATTAGGCTGGGGGAAGAAAATTAATAGTCTTCTACATGATGGGCTTGATGTGAGTACTTCCTTTTGTGGCCAGACTGTGAAAGCTGACCCAGTAGTTTGATAACGATGAATACCTCGAGTCTATTGAATGGAGCGTATAAAGATGCGAAGACATACATGGCCGATGTTGTTGTTTGGATGTAAAACCCAAATCAACTGCAACGATTAAAAGCAGGGCGGGGTCGGGTTTTCGTATACAAGGCTATGGAAGGAGCCCTTGGTCCACAAAACGGCTTCTTTAGGATTGTGGAGAGGTCCCATCTGATGAACCCCAATCAGATCATCAACACTAATGCGAAAGACATACATCTACAACATGGCCAGGCAATCATCCTGGATGGAGATCTAGTAATAGAGTATCCTCAAACAGGTGGTGGTGTCGGGCTCTTAAAGTGTTTTTCCAGGGCGTGATTGGATCATGACACTGAAGTGAGCACATGCGTCAGTATACAGTTTGTAATGGAGATTGCTTTAGTCTACCATTCACGTTTTCAAGGATATTGGTGTATTGTATTGGTTCAACATTATAATCAAAATCAATTGCTTCTATTTACCTAAAATTCTCGTTACTTGTGCTTAACGTCGCAGCCGGATCATCGACGAAGTGGGAAGGAAATTCCTGGCTCATGCCCGCTAGAGCAGCTGGACCATCGATAAAAGTGAAAGGAAATTCCTGGCTCATGCCCGCTAGAGCAGCTGGGTCATCGATGAAAGTAAATTCTTGACCCATGTCTGGCGGAGCAGCCGAATTATCGTTATATACAACAGAATGTCTTTCGTCGCTACGTAATCTCGTCAAGGTAGCGGGATCATCGTCAAACCAAGAATTAGCTTCTTGCCATGCTGTCGAATGTGGATCAAAAGCATACGAATGAGAACGAAAGGCGTATGTATTCCCATTATTATTTTGTGTCGCAGGGTTAGGAAATGGTTGTTGCTGACAAGCAACTCGTGCGAGTGCGGACTTGTATCGGAAGCATTATCATCATAATTAGTAATGCCCATTGAGTTGTTGGTGTCCTGCAGAGATTGAAGTCGTTGTTCATCATGCGTGTTTTCTCGCAGGCCTCCGTCCCTTGTATCACACGGAGTTATAGTCTTGTCAAGGCGGGTTTGTGTGCCACAGGAAGCGGCGGTATTTATGTTCCTCTGCCCACCATCTGACTCAGGTGAAGATATAGTGTAACGTTGTATACCCTGGCATTGCTTCTTATTTTGCAGATTGTAACTTGTAGCTTTTCGTTTCGGAGGCCTCCCAGGTTGTCCTACCTTTAAATCAATAAAACTCCTTGAGGGATAATTGTAGAGCAGGAAGGCATACCGTAAGAGATTGGCTCTTTATATGGATGGGACGTAGGCGACAAAAGTGATATGATGATAAGATCCAATTCCGTAAAGTTGAGCTCACTATCCCAAATTGCCTGCTTTAACACAATTGCTACTTTGCCAAGTTCCAATATAAAGTCAGGAGAAACAGTGTCGCAGTACTGTGCAATGATTTCAAAATCATTCCAGGAACATCTTTCCCTGCAAGATATCAGATGAAGAATAGCAATTCGAGAAGGGTGACACGGGATACTCACATTCCATCAAACTGAACATCTCCAAGAGCGAGAAGCATCCCGATTTGTAATCGACTGTACCTTTCGCCGGCTCGGAGTTGTGACAAGAATTTAGACCTTATTTTAACCTCTCCAGAAGTCTCGCAAGCCAACTTGGATAAAACGTAGACTGAGATTGACTTGTATGTAGCACCTTTCTTGACCTTTATTTGTGATCTTCCAGCTAGATACTCAATCCTTCTTTCTACAACTTCTCGACATTCATTAAGCCTGGCTAGAGAGAGCCGTCGTCGTATTGGACTTATAATTATTTCCTCATCGAAATTCTCGATATAGACACACAGACGTCGGAGGGCAGCTGACAGAGATAATTGAGACAAGGGATCGACACGTCCCCAAAAAGAGAAAGGCTCTTCAGTCCATTTCGGAAGTCTCTCCTGAAGTAATATTTGAATTGAGTTTTGGCGCTGTTTGAGGTTGTTTAAAAAGGCTAGAAAGTATTTGTTCCGATGGACGGGCTTTGGAGCTTCGCCTGTGTCATCGCTCGTCCGGTTGGAGCAGGAGGGCCTGGACCGCACATACTGCACAATAGCTTGCAGACTTGATTGAGATGCAACTAGATCGCTCGAACTCGTTGCTCGTTCGATTAGCTGTGCGAAGGTCTATGTTTGATACTTGTCAGCATTTTCCAAAAGATTTCGACGCGGTGTCCTACAGTGTCCTTTTGTCTGATAACACCCACCAATTCTTGTACGCTTTGTTGATAAGTGTTCAGTTGCTGTAACAAGTAAGAGTGTAAACATAGAAGATTTGAAGAAAGGTTAAACCTCGGAATCAAGTGTACTGATGAGTATTCCCATGGCTGGATTTTACAGAATTGAGAATGAACATGTGGTTATCGTGGAAACATACGGAGAATGACCCAGCTTCTATATCCTTGAACGAGTTTGCGGATCCTTATCTTGTTCAAGGGATATTTTGCAGGATTTCCGAGCCCTGAAAAAATTAGGCCAATACATGCCCAGGTTCGCGCTTAGTTCCTTACTCATTCTAGCTTTTTCTATTTGGAGATTTCTTGCAGAAGGGGAGGTGGGGGGAACTTGGTCGAACGAAGTGCATTGGGGTTTGGGGTTTGGGGTTTGCCCCCATAGAAAGCCACTCTCTGTACAATTTGACGGATTCAGGTAGTTCTATGGGAATTAACCCTCAGCCTGTACCTCGCGAGGCAGGGAGATGGATGGAGCTCATCGGTCGGGATGGATGTTGGGTTGATTGGGACGTGGGACTTGAGAGATATGATATGATTTGGAGGAAAAGATGCAGATGGTGTGGTAATCGATAGGTAGGTAGATGTTGCCATTGATGGATGTTACCTCTCAGAGAACATACTAGGTAGATGAACAAGCGTGCTGCGTGGTGTTTCGATATCCAAACTGCAACCTTTTGCACTCCCGGCATCAGTCCCTGCAGACATCTCACTATGGAGGTAAGCAATCCATTTTAATCGCTTTATTGTATGAAGGGGAGCTTGTAGAACGAGGCAACTATTGTATACTCTTCTCATCTCACAGTACTACAACTTCATCCGTCTCACTTCATCCTTCACCGTGTTCTTCATTCCTTCCTGCCGCCCTCTTCTGGCTACTGCTTGACGATGATGGGAGGAGTAGTGAGAATAAGTGGCAGGGGATCAAACAGATATAATGGATGGTATAATGCAGTGCGAAGTTAGAATGTAGTTCATTAAGACATACGAAGTGTTAATGGTTGTGATATCGCTTTCAGTGCATTTTACTTTAACCCTCCCCAAGTATATAACTGTGACCCTCCATCCAAAATGTATCAATGAGAACTCATCACATTCATCTCCTACAATTAAAGTAGGCATTTCACCACTATACCAATATCTCCCAACAACTACTATTCCTTGAGCAGCCAAATTTCGTCAGTGGAACATTACCTCGATGAAGAGAGTACTCGACAAGGCCCGTTCGTCGGTCACAAATGCCGCAAAGAAGTTCACCAATGTCAGTGTGGCCCGCAGCAAAACTGCATACCCCAAGGCACCAAAAGATTTAGAGAATCTTGGTCTGCGCTGGGATTATGATGGGACGGTCTACAATAAGTTTCAGGTCCAGCCAAATGCTGGGAAGGTTCCTTCAACCATTCGCGAGTGGCGAGAGAAGAACGGCGGAACACATGTCGTTATGGGAGTAATGTATGTGAAGAAGGGTGGCTCATCAGAGGACGTTGCTACAGGCTTCGACAATTTCACAAAGGAACTTGAAGGGCAGGGTGCATCCTTTGAAGGGGGTGTTGGAGGCTCTGGGGCTGAAACTGGTAATGGAGGTTCAAGCTCATCGGAATGGACTTGGTGTATTTTATTAAGTATGCCAATGGAGCGGTAGTATGGGCAGTAAGTTAGCCGCGAAGGCTGGATGGAGATCGATGAAGTATGGGCCGAATTTAGTTGCTTTGATTTTTGTGGCTCTTTCAACAAAAGTAGTGTTAACTTGGTTATTAATAGCGGCCGACCGATCATTTAACTTGTACACCCCCCAAACGGAGTTATCCACGAACTTCATCATTCTTTTTTCACAATGCTAAGAAATGGCCTTTTTCGAACAGTCGTGCAAAGCCATATCGGAAAGACGCGCAAGATGAACGATACCACCAACCCATTCTTCAATTACACGTTTAATAGATGGCTGTAAGTTTCCAAGATCGTCCAAGTGTCAATTGAATCCTGATTATTTTAACATTAATACGCGTCTTAAGTTATAATGAGCAACTACGACTTGTAGAGAGACAACTTTACTTCGACATAAATAAGCTATGTCGCATTATAGCGAAAGCGGTCGGGCAACCTCAAAATGATCTTGTGCTTGTTACAAAGCTCGCAGAGGGGGGATCATACCGTATCTTCGAAGCAACCTTCCGCGACGGGCTCAAGGCCGTCGCACGCCTCCCATATCCTTGTACCATTCCTCGCAAATACGGCGTCGCGAGCGAGGTTGCTACGATGGAGTTTTTACGGACTCATGGTATTCCGATTCCAAAGATCCTCGATTGGAGCTCGTCAACTTCCAACCCACTTGCCTCTGAATACATCATTATGGAACGAGTTCCAGGGAAGGAGTTGGCAGATACATGGCTTACTATGACGTTGAAGGAGAGGATGGCTATTATAGAGAAGATTGTGCATTTGGAGAAGCTTCTATTTGACATAAAATTCCCCGCTAGCGGCAGCATTTTTTTCAAAGATTCCTTGGATGCTGGGGTGAAAACTGTGGATATGCCTAAGTCCGAAGAAAACAGCCTCAAGGATGCCAGCAGATTCTGCATTGGACCCTCAACCGAATATTTATGGTGGTATCAAAGGCGAAATGAGCTAGCTGCTAATGGGGGACCTTGTAAGCGCTCACATTTTCACAACTCTGTGCCAGCTGACGTGCGAAATTCTAGGGCAGAATAGTGAAGAGGTGTTGAAAGCAGTCGGCGAAAGAGAGATCTTGTGGCTCCAGAGATTTGGCGAAAAGCGATATCCGCGTGAACCGTTCTACAGGGAATTCTATGGGCGTGAGAAGGTGGATCCACAAGTCCAGGTTCAATTTCTGCAAGATTATTTGAAGATCGCTCCTCACCTCGTTCCTAAAGCGGAACAGCTCAACACACCTATTATTCGTCACCCTGACCTCTCGCCTAGTAACATACTCATCTCTGACAATGGCGATATCGCTGGCGTTATCGACTGGCAACATGCTGCTATTCTCCCGCTGTTCTTACAAGCCAAGGTCCCGAAACATTTCCAGAACTACGGTGATGATGATTCGGAGAACTTTCGACGCCCAAAACTTGCAGATGATTTCATCACTATGACGAGCAGTGACAGTGAAGTAGAGATGGAGCTGTACCGGCGACGGCAAGTCCACTACTTTTACCTCAGTTACACGAATCAAATCAACAAGGCTCACTTTCAAGCAATAGGAAAGTATGGCCTTGTTTTGAGGAACCAGCTTTTCGATACGGCAGGTCGACCATGGGAAGGTGATATAACATCGCTCCAAGCCCAATTGATCAAAACGTTGATGAACTGGTCCGAGATCACCTCTTCAGATGACAATCCTCCAGTTCTCTACCCCCCAGTGGAAATCAAGGAATGCCTCGACAGGGACGCTAAGCAGAAGAGCATTGATGAGCAGATGCAAAGCTTACGAGAATGCATTGGAGTTAACATTGATGGTTTGGTTGTCAATGAGGAATTTGAGAACGCGAGAGAGAAGGCTAAACTTATCAAACAGGAGCTAGTCGAAGGTGCTGACACAGAAGAGGAGAAAATGGAGTTTGATGAACATTGACCTTTCCAAGATCATGAGGAGATCGACTGACTGATTGAGCTTGCAGCTGATCAAAGTGTGCTTGCGTCCGTCATGACGTGCATTGAATGAGGCTGATTTGTGCCTTTACCAACAGTTCCCTTCATAATCCAGTTTCCTAACGTAGTATCCCAAGGGGATGGCGTCGCCGAAAGGTCTGGTGGTGGTGGATTTCGGTTCAGACTGTTGTGAAAGAACATTTTAAGTTGTTGCTGATACTTATCTTCATCAGCAACAGCATATTCAAGAGAATAGCCTAGCTTCCCAAAAGATATACAGCTATTACGCTGTGTGATTATGCTTTGCCCGTTGGTAAGCTCCTCATTGCCTAGCACAATCGTCGCCCGATTACTGATTACACGGACTACAAGGGAGCCGGTTGTGTCGAAAAACAGGCGCGCGTGTCTACCAGTAACCTCGTACTTTGAGTAAGGAGTTCCCGGTATTGCCAATTGTAGATCAACTCCATTTTTCGTGCCTTTGCCTGTGCCAATGTACCAAACGAGTAAGGGATAGTTGGAGGAAACGTCAAAGCGGATAACATAGTGACCTCCCCACTTATTAGGCTCGGAGCTATCATCCTCGCTAGTTGTTTCTGCGTTTGTTCATCGTTTGTTCCCTTATCATTGCGATTGCGGTTATTGCGATTAATATCATGAACGACGATTTGATCATAAGGCTTCATAAACATGAACTTAGCGGCATGAAGCAGCTTGCCATTGTCGGAGTTGTCTTTTAGGTTTTGTACGACATGACTATAAGCTCATCGTGCTTCGGTGTTCATAGGAATCAGATGTGCAATGAGTGCTGAGGAGTCTGACATGGTTGGTGAGTGACGTTAAAGATGGGATTTGATATCAGAAGATTCACTTAGATTGATATGTATTGATATACTCGAGTAAGTCAGTAATCATTAGCAGGATAAGGAAGGTTACCTACGCTACGTTGTCATTTTATCGTTCAGCCATTCAGCCTCAGCGCCTATTTGAGTTACACAAAGTGCCGCCGCTCCCTTGCGCGTTTTCAGGCGAACCCATCCAACTTCTTGCAAGTTACTCATCCTCCAACCACTACCTCCATCCCATCCAACCACTACCTCCATCCAAACACTACCTCCATCCAACCACTACCTCCATCCAAACAATACCTCCATCCAAACACTACCTACATCCAACCACTACGGTAAAATTACAATGTCGTCAGATCTCTCATCGTCGAACATCCTCGACCCGATTACAGTTCAGACACCAGCCCCAAAATCACCCGCGACTCCTCCTTCTGCCGATGGCAATATTACCCCCCCCGGCTTTGGATTTGAATTCGAATATGTTTTGCAGAAAAAAGTTTCAGAAGATTTAGATCGACAACGCATGCGCCTACACAAATACAGTCAATTCGGAATGGACGAGTACGATGCAAGACGAGCATCGCCAGAAGAGATGCGTGAGAAATATTATCAACTTTGCGAGGATTTTCTTAATGATGTCTATACACCTTCAATCCCAACCCCATCAATTCCACCCACCTCTGATTTATCCCCGCCCACCTCTGATTTATCCCCGCGCCCTCTCGTTTCGAAATCGCTAGCATTCGAAGAGCCAGCGCACAGTGACGAGACAGGGAACCGGAAGGAGCTCAACGAAGCCCGCGAGAATGCCTTCAGTGGTGGAATCAGGCTTCACGAATTTATATCGACGCTTAATGATCCGACACGCTCTGATAATCCAGAATTCTGGCAGGAGATGGAAAAGATATACAAACAATGTCATATCCAATTGTCACAGCTCTGGTTACCATCAATACATGAGTCAGTTGAAGACGTGGATATGCCAGACGCCTTACTGCACACCTCATCGAAATCGCAGACAAGCACTGACAATTCGAAACCTTTCGTACACAACTTGGCTGACAATTTGCTCGACTCTGGATTCGAAAAACGTCCAGCGTTTCGGAAACAGGTTGGGAAGTCAGGAAGTGGCAGAGAAATACAAGGACTGGAAGTCAAGGCAGTGATACCTAAAAGGACCTCAAATGATACACACAAAGTTACCAAGTCAAAAACGGGACGAAAGCCGACGACAAGATCATCCATACAAGGACTGGAAGTCAAGGCAGTGATACCTAAAAGGACCTCGAATGATACACACAAAGTTACCAAGTCAAAAACGAGACGGAGGCCGACGACAAGATCATCCAAAAAGCGACTTTGAAAGGCGTGGGAGGTGGGCGATGATGTGGAAAAGATGGGTTAGGCGGCTTGAGAGCCAAGCAAGTTTGATTGAAAAGCACAGGCTAGGCGGGTGCCTTAGTTTGCGAAGTAGGCTTTAAATTGTTAAGTAGTATCGATAGAAGTCGATGCCAGAGAGATAAGAAGAGAGCGGTAGTAATGGTATTCTCATTGTTATATGGAGTATAAGATTGCTTAATGTATACTCGTGGGTGGCTCTATCATGATCGTGTTTATTTCTATTCATTCATTCTTGAATACTGTTATATTATTTGCAATATCAAAATAGATTCCCTTGTGAACTTTATCGCAAATCTAGTTTTATAAATCAGGTTCTAATAAAGAGTTTACTACTACTACTACTCAGCCTCAGCCTGTCACTCCACTGCCACTGCCACTGCCAGTAGACTTCGCAACGGGTACTCGTGGGGGAGATTATTGATCTGGTGGGTAATTCGTAGATTACTTATCAGCAGAACAGGTTATTGAAAACTCTGGATGGGATATCTAGTTCTATGGGGTATCTAATTCTATGAGAATCAGGTTTTAGTAAGGAGCTTACTACTACTACTACTAGTAGTAGGCTATACAATGGATATCCGCAGGGCCAGGGTGTTCAATAGTCCGGACTGCAGAACACACTAGTATGTTTATATTAAACAATTAAACTTAAGTTCAATGAAAAGGCTGATTAACTAATTCAATGATTCTGCAAGCTAGACTAGTTGAATTACTATTTAACTCAGCTAGACTTTTGGATTATTTATATTATATATAATAATCATATAATTGAAATCACGTTTTCATATATTTATATAATTGATGTTTTTGAATATATATCTAGAATCACCGTGATATAATCATATTATATGATCCAAATAATCTCAAAGTCCAAATAACTAATCCAGACTTTTTATATTAGATCTTTAATAGTCTATCTGGTTCAATCAAATTCTAGATTAGCTGTTCAGATTACTGTCCGGACGGAGTACACAGCAAGAGTCCTACACTGCGCAGGGCGGGTTATTGGAAACTCCGAATGGGATATCTGTTTCTATGAGGTATCTAGTTATATGAGAATCAGGGCTTAGTAAGGAGCTTAGTAGGCTATAAATGGATACCCGCAGGGCGGGTTATTGGAAACTCTGAATGGGTATCTAGTTTTACAAGAATCAGGTTCTAATGAGGAGCTTATTATTATTATTTAATTTTAATTTTAATTTGACTACACAACAGGTACCCGCAAGGCGAATTGTTGATACAATAGACAACTCGTAGATTACCCATCATTAGAGCAGGTTATTGGAAACTTTGAATAGGTTATTACCTGTAGGTTATTTCTATTTGTGAATTAGTAAAGTTATAATAACCTATCAATTTGCAAATAATCCATCGACCTGTAAACAACTTATGAGACAGGTTATCTTGAATCCCAACTGATAATTGATAAAGAAGGTAGTAGCTCTAATATGATCTAGTCTATAAGGCGGATTATCCACGGGTACCTGTATGGGTTGTAGACAATTTCTGCGCTGCCTAGCTCAGCCTCAGCTTAGTGAAAATGTTCCGAATTTGACAATTTCGCAACGACGAGAGATAGAAACTCTAGATTTGGACTTGTGTAGGTATATAGTATTAGGAATCTCAGAAGCAAATCATTTCTGTCATCTGACAAGATTCGAAAAACTAGATTTCGGGGTAAATTGGATCTCCTATGGTGATATAAGCACCCACTTGATGATTTATTGGTAACAAGAAAAGCTAAGGAGCTCAAACTATGTCTAAGATGACTCTACAAGATATGATAGTCTCTACATAGTGTAATTTACATTATTCGGTTCTTTTGAGAATTCGAGTTTGGGCTTGGATTGGATATGGCTGAGGTATGACCCCCTACTTGACCATTTCTCGACGACGACTAAGTTTTTAAAGACGGAATCAGGTCTTGACTTACTCTAGGTACTGGAAAATCCTCCACGTTTTATTGTTTTCATGCTACGACCACTTTCGAGAAACCCAACTTTGAACAGATTGGGCTCTTCGTAGTAGAGTACAAGCACCGACTTAACGAATACTCAGTGACTAAATTGTTATCAAAGAATAATTCTATATTTACTAGATTTTGGCAACTAAAAGACCCCCATAAACATACTGCTTTCATGATTCAATATCATTTGATAAACTCGAATTTGAACTATATGGAGTTCTGGCGAAAGAATACGAGGACCGACTTGACGAATACTCAGTGACTATAATGTTTTCAAAGACTAAGTCTGTACTAATTAGATTCTAGTAACTCAAGGACCCCCAGAGATATACTACTTTGATGATTCAATGTCATTTGACGAACTCGAATTTGTACTACGTGGAATCCGGCGAAGGGATACGAGCATCAACTTGGCGAATCCTCAGTTACTACATGGTCTTTAAGCATTAGGTATGTACTTCTTGAATAATAATGACTAAGAGATCCCCAAAATTATATTACTTCGATGATTCAATGTCATTTGACGGATGCGAATTTGTACTATATGAAATCTGGCGAAGGGATACGAGCATCCACTTGACAAATACACGATGACGAGTCAAGTTATGGCTCAAAAAGTATGTTTGTATAAGTTTCAAATCCATTCATACCGTCCATGGCTGCTTAAATGATAACTGGAGACTTTCTACGAATACCAATCATCAAAAAGAATGATTTCACCGTAGAAGTTGAGCACCCACCTTATGATTTGGCGACAACGAAGCTATGCACAGCTATTTTGCTTACTCTATTATTTCTCTAAGGGTCATTCTATTCTTATGGTGGAGAAGTTTGCCACACTAGCGTTTATCCATGCATTGTGAAACATGTTTGGCTTAGGGTGTAATGAGCACCCGTATCATGATACCTACACAACTAGATGACCTACACGTGTGAAGATAGTTTTGGTATATCTTCAAAGCTGCAATACCTCTGGAGCAGCTTTAGTTTCCCAATTGAGATCTTTTTGGGATTTATAGATCTTGGAGGCCGAGGTGCTCAGTGAGCACGCACTTGATGATTTCACAACGAGGAGATAAGCTGATGCTATGAATTTTAGCCTAGAAGATGTCTAAAGTTAATTGTAATCTTGTACTATTCATTCCTACGTTATTAAGAATTGATTTCACTCTAAAAGCTTCGCCGCATCGCCGCATCGCATTACTCATTCAATCTTCATTAATTTGTAGGCCTTGAGAGCCCCAATCCTAATAAGTTCATTCGGAATTGATACCAAATCAAATCTATGATATATTGAATCATTTTATATTGAAATAAGATGTCTTTCAGTATGTGTATAGCCAATTCTCTTGTCACACTGGATTATCTCTAGGCCTACTCAAGTCACTATACTGCGTTGTTGAGGATAAAAGAACTCATCTGAACCACTCTACATACGTCTCATATCAATATCCCTTTAGAGTCTTGTTCAACTTCATGGAGGGTGCTCATGTTCTATATCACGTGACTTGACCATTCTTATTCCCATCATGTATCCTTCTCTAAAGCAATCTGAAGGATTTAAAAGGCATATACATGATTTACGAAGCTTTTTCAATCTATCTGTGTGTTTTCTTTTCTCAAATCTTTATTATTCTGTGTTCTAAACCACTTTGAAGAGCATCTATCCCCGATCTCTTAACACTTGACGGACAATCACTTCTAGGCCCATTTCGAAGACTCTAAAACTGATTCAAGCATCTTGAGACTATTTGATGTAGCTAGAATCTTTATCTCATCTTTAATTGTACTCTGACATGTTCTAAACATGTATGAACAAATGCTTGGATTCTTGATACCTGTTTAGAACAATAAATGAAGATTCCCACAATAATCTAATCTGACCAATGGATTTGGAATGTCTTTCTTTGTATGAAACCGAGATTTGATTTCAGTCAAAAGTGTTACCTCATTAGATTTTATCTTCAACAGTATTCCTCTAATTCCGACCCGTCCTATATCACTCAAAGCAGAAAGAAATTGATTGTTCCAAGTTAATATCCTATATCATTCAATTTATATCAATGCTGAAATCAAGGTTTTGAGATCTGAAAAGCTTCTTGGCTTGTTCTAAACCAGATTTTTGTTTACTACCAAAACACTAATATGTGTTTAGAACAAGAAGAAAATATTCCCACAATAATTCAATAAAGCAAATTGATTCAAAATGTACTTTTGTATATAGAACTGGTTTCTTATTTGTTTTAAAATGGTCTCGTCTTCCAATTCTGTCTTCAATGGTATCTCCCCAATTTCGAATCCTTATACAACACTCAAAGTAGTAAGTAATCAAAGATTCTAAGTTCATATGCTATTTCTTGAACCATTTTGTAGTATTATGATCATTTGATCCAGGTCTAGGATGCTTCGTGGCTTGTTCTAAACATATAAGTACATAAGTGGTAAAACATTGATTCAGTTTAGAACAAGACCAATGTATTTCCACATTGTAAAAAGTATTGTAATAGACTTGAAACTATTTTGAATATATGGAAATAGGTTTTGAATTGTCTAAATATTGTCTATTTCTTTTATATCTACTTCCTATAGTAACGATCCTTTTTGAGCTTTCGCTTCAACAAGCACCATTTATGAATTAGAGTATTTTAAAGCCAGTTTCCATATTCTTTAGGTGAGATCTGTGTCCTCATTAAGTTACTTTCTCTTCAGAAGTATTGTGGTGTGTTCTAAACACTGACACGTAAATGACCCTAAACGGATATATTGTTTAGAACAATAGAGATGTTTTCTAACATGTGTTTACTCTATGGTGATCACTTTTTGAACTCATTCACTTATATTTATGATGTTAGAATCTCTCAAAATGAGCTGGTATATTTATATTCATTTCTTCACCTATCTAGGTGTTTTGAGATCCCTTAACTATATATAAATAGGATTGATATCAGATGTTCTAGCACCAGTTTATGAGTATTTCAAATATAACTAATCATTTTACAAAGATAGATTTGAGTGAGTATGATTGTGGCTTGTTCTAAACATCAAAGTACAAAAGTGTCAAATGCATATGAATGTTTAGAACAAGACAGGGAGATTCCTACACTCAGATGGAGGCTGGACATTAATCTATCTGATCTTCTGCATATATTACCAGTGCTCGTTTGTCTCTTGAAGGCTTCAATCACATATTTGTATGAGATCAGGTGAATTAGAGTGGAATAATCAGAATACAGTTTAGAACGATGAATATAGTTTGGAACAAAAGAAAAAAGATATCGCGATATTCAGATCTATTGGGACTATAGATATATGTACTTGGACTTCAAATTAAACATTTAAAACTATAAAAAAAATTATTTGAAGCACAAAGCTTTTTAAAGTCTGTAGACTGGTTTCTTTGTTTTCTTTTTGGAGGGGCTTCTCAGCTGATAGAAAGTCGAAGTGCACTTCCTGCCACTGTGCCAACCGTCCGACAGAATGCAACTCTACTAGACTTATATACCACACCCCAACCCTGATGCTCGGATGTGCTTCTGCCAATCACGTGCTATTTGAACTGTACGGCTATTGTATAAGTCAACTACCCCACTTTCGGACCACCCTAAAAATAAAAGATCCCCATCTCCCAAACCCTATAACTTAATAACTATTCAACTTCAATAAAATTGCCTGTATCATCACTTTCAATTGTATCCTCGCTATCTTCTGTATCAATTCCACAATCTTTTGTCTCGATTTGAGCCACCCTAATAGCCCTAATCCCTGTAAACCTGGAATTTGGGCTAGTCCTAATTATACGTCTTTTCTTAGGTACAATAGCATCCAATCGATATTTTAATTGCTTTATTCGATTCACCGATTCCATAAGATTATAATCCTTAATATCAAAAGCTTTAATAATCTTACAAAAAAGCAACCGTCTTGTTAACAAATCTGACTCTATTTCTTGAATTATAGTCGATACATATAATCGAAGATCAAATACTATTTGAGGGGTTTTCCAGACTGTAGATGATACCTCTATATTCCATTTAAACTAGAGATTATTATTAGATACTGGATTAGTCAATAAAACCTCTTAATTGCTATTCTCAATCAATATTTAATTCATAAGAGGCTTAGTGTAGTTTTTGGGTTATAAACCCAATGCTTTTTATCCCGATTTGATATTATGGACTGTTAGACCTTTTACTCTAACCTTTTGATAGTAATAAAAAAAGCTACACTTTCCAATTGATATAGAATCCGATAAAGAGTTCAAATTATTGAATGCATATCGGTAAACATTTTTCAGAGGTGAGAAGACTAATAAATCTAATAGTTATAGGATATATGATGTATATAGTGATAGAAATAGAAGATATATATTGCTTTCAAAACATTTGTATATAAAGGGCATATTTCATGATTTCCATAGCTATCCAATATAAATAATCATACTTCGTTGGTTTGAGAGGGGGTAGTTTGAGATATAAAGACCTTTTCCAACTATTCTAGTCCTCTTACATCAGTAGTCTATCTATTTTCAGTAATAGTGAAGTTCCAATCCTTATAAAGATCAAGATCAATGGGAAACCATTGTTGTTGAACACTTTTCTCCTTATAAATAACAAATAATTTGAGGGCTCGCCCTATCACTGAAATATATTCGATAAAAGAGATCCAAACTCTTAAACCAGACTGTTTTTTTTTTGAATAAAACAACGCTGAAAGCTACCTACTACTAGGCCATTGAGACCCTGACTCTTTATAATATCAGTTTCATCCATATTATATCGATTTTCCGGTTTTATATTGATAATCTCAAGTAATTCGAGTTTTCGAAACTACTTTTCAATAATATCATAAGAAGCACCCGAAACTTGGGCAAAGTCGATTCTATATTGTCTCTTGGTTTTAATCTCTGGATTCCTCTCCAAAAAATGGTATACCCATTGTTTCCCAAGAATAGAATCGACCTCTTTTATATCGAGAAGACACTCTCCAATTTCACGAATTTGCCGATGAATAGGACTAGTACCCAAACTCTCCTATACTAATATCTATTCCACTAAACGTCTCTCCTGAATGAGAGCAATCTTTTACATCATCTGAGCACCTTTTCGATAGGAAACTTAGCCATTGATATAATTATAAAATGTGATACAAGGAATCCCATAATCCAAAGCAGCTTTTCACATCGATATACCATTTGCGATAGTATTTAAGGCTTCAGCAATATCGTCTTCGAGATAGATTTTTGACATCTTATAAATAATAGTATATCAAAATTTGAAATCAATTGATTGAATGGTTGTTTAATTATGAATTATTGAAGAGGATAGGTTGCTGAGGCGGTATGGGTTTTTAGGGTGGTCCGAAAGTGGGGTAGTTGACTTATTGCGCACTGATATTGTGTACTCAATAATTATCTTACTTCAATGATACTGGGTGTTATAGCTACATAGATACATGAATATCACAAGAGAGGTACGGGTACATTAAACAGTTTCGAAAGGCTTGTTATTGGTATAGTATGTATGAGCTGGTTCTCGTGAAGGATTACCTACGCGGTTACCAAGCTTTCCTTGGGCTCTGTTGATGATTTGGCCCGCTCACAGAGAGATTGTTGTGCAAGCATGACTGATATGATATCACGAAATAATTACATAGAAATTCTATGATAGAACGTAGTCCAAGAAACTGTGTTTGGTATTGCCAATCTCCTGAACTCGAGATGAATCACCCTTTGTCATGACGGCACTAGTATCTTCAGTTATCTGCTTCTTTGAAATCATAATTTCCATGCCGGTATCGACAATATGGATGTTGTACCAAAACAAATAAATACCGGCGGTAATAGCTCCATATTTAGAAGTCTATGTTTCCACTTACTGTGGGAATTTCTGTGTGTATCAAAATAGTATACTGAGCTTGGATATCCTACCTATCTTGAACGATTAAAGATGGAACGGACATTGTTCATCGCACGGAGCATGAAGGTCTCGACTCAGAAGTTAAGATTGAGCGCAAGTGGAAGATAAGATGGTACGAAATGACGATTGATGTCCGCCGGGAAGGAAGGCATGCGATGATAACTGTAGCCTTGCCAAAAAAAAAGAAATTGCAATTTCGCAATATTCACTAGATAAGCAGAGCGCCTTCCGCAAATTTCTTCTATGATCAAACCATAAAGTCAAAGCCCCAACGAAGTTCTTTAACTTTCTCCTGAATACAACACAACGAATTAATTGATACTCTGATCATGATGACTCCAAAGGTCGTTGAAGATACCCAGAGTTTACTCTTAAAGGCCATCAACAAACTCACAAGCATTAGCTCGCAATTATACGATCAAAAGGATCAGTACTTTCCCGCCCCCGCACTCGAAAAATTCAGAGAAGCGTCGGAATTGATCAGAGATGGAATGGCGACACTCAACGAGGGTTCCCCGCCAGTTTGGTTGGGTGTCAGGGATCAATTCTTCGATTTCTTTTAGATTGGGCAGTTCTATGGTGAGAGATCTTTCGATGTGATGGGCACAGTTTCTGATGTCAGTGGTGTACTGGTCATGGCCATTGGATGCAACATGGTGGTATTTGGCCGGGCGGTTATGATTTCGATAGGAAGAATTTCAGCTCAATTTGTATCTCTGTCTACATTGTGTTGATAATTTGCGTTTCCGTGATGGTCAAGGAATAATGCTTGAAGCTGACTGAGGTGAAGTTTAGGTTTTGCACTTGTTGGAGCTAATGACATAAGCAAACTCAGCGGAAGCCAGGTACTTGGATCACATGGCAGCATCTACTGAATCCTGATAGCTCCCTACTGATACATTATTTTGAGACTTTCATCGAAGCTTCTGATATTCTATATTAATTCACTCAAAAAGAGTACTTTGAACTCGGAGCAAATCCACTTAATCATCATATCACGTGATATTTATCAGCTACTAGTGAAGCCGAGCTTTCGAAGACTAGTCCGAAGTACAAACTCGGTTTCCTTCCCCTCTCACAGATATCGCTACTGCAGTACTACCACTACACTACATATCATCTCATCTTTCCCTGGAGTGGAGTACCGGTAGCGATCTTAAACACTCTGGGGTAGATTATCGATGAAGTAAACCTCTCCCTCCCCCTTCCCTTCCTACTCCTACTTGATTCCAATTCAAAGCCCGAATGTTATTGGTTGAAGAAGAAAGGGGGATGTTATACTAACATTTCTGAAAATGGTTAGCGCCCTGAATAATGCCGAAGTGCTCCCTTAACCTCAATGCCGTTTATTTTTCATTTCGTCTACTGAGGTGACCAACACCTATCACGAATGAAATGATTGTCATCTCGTGGAACGCCGACGTGACAGGATAGCCGCTTCATTAGTAGGAAGGGGTTAAACATTCTTCATGTTCCACGCGTACTGTGTGTGTACATATCTTCGTTGTTATCTTCTTATCGCGATTACCTTTCGGTGAAATCAGATCATTCATTCCTTCGGCAGAAAGTCTTCTGACCGAATATGGACAGATTGAAACATTTTACATATACTCCTTGGAATCTTCTCCAAGGCTGACTCGACTACATACAATCTTTGCTCTGCCTGATCATACATCCCCTATCGAGTAACGTTGCAGCAAGCTTTCCTTTTGCATTCGTTTCATTATATCCTTTCAAATTCAATATCTTTCCTCCTAACCGCTGGGTTGCACACATTTATTCTCCTCTATCCCACCAAGTGGCTTATCGGCAATCTCACACCCCTGGCGATCGGCCGGGCATTTATCATCTTATACTGAGGTTACCTTCCATATTTTGATTCTACAGCTTGCATGTGCCGGGAAAAGGTAATTCCATGTCCCTCTGACATGCACATTAACCACCATTCTTCTGGAATGAACCCTTTAATCTCTTCACTTTCTGCGCCCGTGATGACGATTGGGATATCTCTTATTCTCGATGAGAGCGCGATATCACATTTGCAATCCAAAGGAGACGTGGATTCTGAATCTCGCGGATATTGAATTTCCTCATTGAGAAGCCCTTTTGGCAATCCCCTACCTCCACTGTTTGAGATTGGAGCGGGCGCTAGGTGTTGGAATGTCTGAATCCCAGTTTTAGGAAATTGTCAATATTGTCGTTTGACCTCTAGGCTTGTAAGATGAACGTCAAGTTGCCACTAAAATAACATGGTGCGATTTTGAAGTCTCGACTATCTTGAGTAACGTTTGGTCATCTTTGGATGTACCACGAATTCACTGCTCTGTGGACGTCCGATTATTGGCAGTGGGAACTGGAGACACAAGTATAAGAAGGTTAAATAACCCATCCCAATGAATAACTCAAGATTCCAATCGAGATTACTTTCGATCGCCAAACATCTTGAAGCCTAGGACTCTCACGGTCTAGTCTTCAGCATTCTCCGCAGTATATCCGGATTTACTGCAATCCTTCCATTATGCTTTCACTCTCTAATCTTGCTCTTTTCGTGGGCATTCTGGCCAGTATTCCTTCCGTGATTGCGGGTTTCAATTCGGCCTCGCAGACCAACATTGCTGTGTATTGGGGTGAGTTTGACTGCACTTTTTGACGGCAACAAATGCAAGATTGTGTATTAACACGGAATAGGGCAAAACTCATACGGTCAGGGAACCGGAGCTTTTGTACAGCAACGCCTCTCTTATTATTGCGCAAGTAAGTTTTCAAAACTGAAATATAGGTGCCGATGAAGCTAACATAACCTAGATACGGATATTGATGTACGAACATGCTCCCCCTATGAATCCCCCTGCAACATTCTGATCAGGACCATAGATAATTCCGCTGGCATTTCTAGTTTCTATGAATACGCCAGTTCTCAATTTCGCAAACCAAGGAGACGTATGCACGGTTACTGTAGGATCTACCCTATTTTACTGCTCAGAACTCGAGTAAGTACAAGATTTCAATTTCGTATCTGGTACACAGTCTAAACATCCATTCTAGAGCCGACATCACTACGTGCCAAAAGAAATATGGCAAGACGATTCTGCTTTCCATTGGTGGAGCCACTTACACCGAAGGCGGTTTCACTTCAACTGCAGCTGCCATCACCGCTGCGAATAATGTTTGGTCATGGTTTGGACCCTATAGCTCATATGTAGTCCGACCATTTGGAACGGCAGTCGTTGATGGTTTCGACTTTGACTTTGAAAGCACGGTATCAAATATGCCAGCATTTGCGAATCAGCTCCGCTCATTGATGAATGCCAATAAATCCAAAACGTGGCTTCTATCCGCCGCTCCACAATGTCCCTATCCCGACGCGGCAGATGGACCGATGCTCAATGGAGCAGTATCATTCGACATTGTCTGGGTACAATTCTACAACAATTACTGCGGCATCCAATCTTTTGTCGCCGGCACAGCCACCCAAAATAACTTCAACTTCGCTACATGGGATACGTGGGCCAAGACCATATCTCTCAACCCCAAGGTCAAAGTCATGTTGGGTATACCCTCCAATATCGGCGCTGGTGCTGGTTATACGTCCGGTACTGCCCTTGCAAACATCATCGCATATTCTAAAAGCTTCTCAAGCTTCGGCGGTATAATGATGTGGGATGTGAGTCAACTATACGCAAATACTGGATTTCTCAACACGGTCAATAAGGATCTTGGGAATCCACCGGTGACGGTACCGGTTACTACGACCACGGTTCCAGTAACCTATCCTACTCCTCCTCCTACGACGACGACAACTCCAGGATCAACTCTCACAACTGTCACAACAACGAGTGCGAGCGCCACTTCGACTGGTGGTGCTGGAATTGTCAATGAGTGGAATCAATGTGGCGGACAGGGTTGGAATGGTGGAACTGTTTGTGTTGCCGGTACGACTTGTGTGGCATACAGTATTTGGTACTCGCAATGTAACCCCTCTTAGATTCTTGTCTAGTGACGAGAATCATGTTGAGCTGGCTGCGCTGGCTGCGCTGGCTGAGGCAGGGTCACAAAGCTGTTGTTGTTTGCTACTTTTAACTTTCCTATATTTTTATACCACTGCGCATACCTTCAGCTTCAGCTTCAGCTTATTCAATTCTTTTGTACATCTTCGGAGCTACGTCTTTATCTATATATCCGTTTGGTTGGCTTCCAGCCTAGCAAACGCACATAAGGTTGTTACGTTGGATGATCTAGATTCTAAAGTGGAGGAGTTCTCTTTATAAGTTTAAATTATATTCTTGCCTGGAATTTTACATAGCATTCAATATATATTGATTTTTAGTAGCGTATATATGGTGGAAAAAGTTAAAGGGTCAGATTCCTTACTTTCTAAGAAATATTCTCTGGAGACACTCTGTCGCACGTGGATCTAAGTAATGATGATGGCTAAGTTTGACTCCATGCCAGTTCGCATGTACTTCTTCCTCGAGACTGCAGCGCGATCTATCTTGGGGTAGATACCTGTTGGTATATATATATATATCACATGGTAGGGTATCACGTGCACAAATACACGTGACCCCACCACACCTATATAGTCCTCGATTCCTTTGAATCTCTGAATAGAATCATTGTAGGTATATATAACACTACAAATTATACCCATAAGGGAATGATCTTGTGCCTATACTTTCACTCGCCAAACCGACAATACCTAATGTCTCGATCCTCTCTTCTCTTCTTATTACCCTATGTCTGTACTCGATTGATTGATTGATTGATTGATTTAATTTTCGTCCATCTTCAGTCTAAGACTATATAGGAGTGTCTGTACTCGAGTATATATCCTACACAAGAAAGATTCAATATACTAGAGCATATGATCCTACGCTCCCTGCTACAATCATCGGTAACCTTACTTCATTCCTTTCATACAACCATCTAACCATCTAATCATCGCCAAGCTCTCAACATATCTTTGCACCACATACAGCTCAAGCCATCTATTTATCTCCTACATCTATCTCCTTACATAATACTCGAGTATATAAGCTATCCTAACCGCTATCAACGTATTCTCGCATCTACATATCAGAAATACTTCGCATGACAGTAAATAGCACGCGCTTTATTCGCCGTGCGCCATTGTGCCATTGGGTTATTGTGTTGTTAGGTCGAGAATATCGGGTTTGGGTTTGGGTTTGGCTTGGGCTTTGATTTCATCTTATTATTCTTTGCTGTTGCTGCTGTTGCTGCTGTTGCTGTTTATTGGATTGGTAGTGGTAAATTGTGTAAGGTTTATTGTATTATTGTATGATTTTAATTAAGGTCTGGTAAGTTGAAGTAAAGTATGGTATGGTATGGTAAGGTAAGGATATAAATATATGTTTTCTGATGAAAAAAGGCTGGCTTAACTACATTGCAGGTTTGAATCTTAGTTGCAGACTTCTACATGATTTCGTTATCTGTAGGGATATAGACTTTGGAGCCCGGCCGATTTGGTAAGGCCTACAAACAATGGATCGGAATAAGAAGTGCAGTTAGAGTTGAGAAGCAGGGAAAGGGGAAAGTTAGAGATCTTGTGGGGTGAATTTTCCGGGTTGGTAGGTTTTATTTCTTGTTCGGTTTGGATCCTAAACTTCAGCTCACTTTTTCTGTTTATCTCTGTTACATAAATTTGTTTGATGTCTTTCGTAAGTAGGGTGGTAGGGTTTGACTCTGGGTGTTTATTGCGCCGGTATAGGAAATCAGGTAGGTACTAAAGTGATTTAAGCTAGGTGACACATTTTTCATTACTATGATGTTAGTGGAGACTAATCGGTGGGAAATAGAAAGTACAATATTATTATTTCATCTGATGTCAGCGGAAGAACCTCCTCCCTGGCAGAGCGTTTGACTTGCATAGTACCTAAAAGTGGTTGGCTGCTGAAGATTCGCATGATACCGGTATTCTTTCATCCATGAAAGTGGGTGGAATTAAAAGTACCGGAAATATACGAACGCAACAATCTGATCAAGGTAAACACGGCAAATGAAATAAGTACCAAATTAGAGCAGCGGTGCTCAAAGATCGACTGATTGCGCGAGGTTTGACCGTGATTAGTAAGCACGTCACATTTGCGAGGCGTTACCTAGTAGTTGAATCAATATATTTTGTGCATATCATCTCTGATAAGGTGCATTTAAAATTGAGTCGTAATCACGGAAGAGTCCGATATTAGTCCGATATTCCGGACCGAATAATGGAGAAAGAAGAGGTGAGTGGATATCTAGTGGGGTCCCCCTATCTCGTCCCAACTTTAAGCGAAGATATTACCTGCACAGCCGCAAACCTGACCAACGCCACAAACAATGTTGAAATTAGATTTCTTTGGATTGATCTTAGACTAATCCCTTCGATGCTCTCCAACCAAGTTTTCACTTCCGCCGCTACCACACTGTATCGAGACTTTTTGCGCTTTTCGATGGGAATTTGCTGGGTCCCTGTCATCTTGTTACCTGGAGGTTTTTATCTCTAATTCTTTCTACCTTGGGATTGGGATCCGGTCTTTTAATTCATAACGACTATATAACGATGGACTCACTGAGCGGTACGCTAATAAATGCGTGAACTCCGATGATCTTCCGTCTCCACTTATCTTCCGCCTTGCAATCGTTCTGCTCATACCGTTCCCGTGACCCTATTTCCTGCATATAATTCTGTCCATCTTACAATCCCTATCATATGCTAATTTAAACATCGAAGATCTGCAAGATAGCTTGATCATCGTTGTCACTTTCAAATGCACAGGGTGTCCATGACAACGTTGATACCTAGTAATCTAGAGCATGAGGGGAGCTTCAATGTAGCGAGCTTGAAAGCATTCAACCTTTCGTAGCTTTGATATAATCAGATCAGGACGCTCGTAGAAAGAGATGGGTTGACATAAGGTGGGGTAGTTGTGTCGCAGATCTGCTTAGTCAAGAGGTCCGTAGATGGGAGAAGGAATTATAATCGAGGTTGTTGCAGAGGTAAAGTCATAAAACTTATTGCTTAGGTTGATGAAGTGATTGTGTCGTGGATGTCAATTGGGTTGATTCCCTTGAAAGTAATTATTACATAGCACTGCCTATGGATGGTGGAGTGGTATTCTGTCTCAGTGTAGCCAGTTGAACTAGTCTACTGATTAAACTGGTAGTTTAGTTTGATGAATTCAAACTACTAAATTATCCTATTTTCAATTGCTAGTTGCATCAATCAAACCACTAAAGTATCCTTTTTTTCAATTGCTAGTTTAATCAATCAAACCAACGATCTAACTAGTGATTCAGTTTGTGGTTTGGCAATCGGTTTTATTTATGATATTCATCAACTACCAATTGAAATATAGCTTCCCAAACTGCCAGCTTCCCGAATGGCTCAAATTACTGATTACACTGTACTGTTTTGATTTCTACTGTTTCGCAATCAAATCCCAAATCCCTTAGCATCGTTGTCGCATAACCGCACATAATACCTGGCAGAGTACAATACTTTGCTTTGCTTCCCACGAATTTCTTCAAAAGATAATACTATTATATAGCCAATCTGTGACATCACAGATCAATTTCGGTATCGCCTCAGCGATAATAATGACGTCTATATCATACTCCTGTTCTATTGTGATACTTGTAATTATTGTTGCATATTGATTGATCAAACAATGCTCACCACCGTTTCAAAATGGAAAGACATATATAGATGTGAAATACCTGATCTATAATCATTACTATATAAACCCACTTAACACAAGAGTCTTCATCCAGACCGCAAAGGCGACAAACAGGCTTGTTTGTTCAGGTCAAATGCGGTCTGGTGGTGGAGTGGTACAACGCCTGGTTCGAATCGAAAAAAAAATCCCCATCGGGGGGTTCCTCCTCCCGCCCCTCGAGGGGCGGTAAGGTTTTGTTAGTTAGTAAACTGAATTATTTCTTTTTTTTAAGGTTATATATATATATATAGGGGAGAAGATAGATATAAGCAGTATGCTAGTGTTTTTTTTCCTCAGAAAACAGCAAGCGAAAAAAAAAGGCTATGTCGCAATACTTACGTCTCCTTATTATTCTAGATCCTTATTATTCTAGATTTTCTAATATACATATACATCTTTTGTGAATACCAAATAGCATAGTATCTCTAATTATATATTCTAATAGTTCAACGGATTCTGTTGTGTAGCTTGATATCCTATAATCTTGTTTCGCCGAGTTAAAGCTATTCATACAATCATTGCGATTCTGTAGTCTTATATACTGCAGGCCCTCTCAATTGAGTCATTGTTAAGCTACGCAAAGATTACCAGCGATCCACGGATTATATAATCTATTGAAGGTTTTCGATTACCTCAAAATTTCTATTGAGATCTTGAAATGATACATTCTAAAGATTATCTTTAAATTGATAGATTACTATTCACAAACAGTCATTTATAGATATCTGCAAATAATCTACAGATTACCCATTCAGGTTTTTCAATCATTTACCATATCTATGGATGATCTACAGGTTATCCATCAGATCAGTACCAGTTGCGCAACCTAGTCCGACTCGTCGTTGGTCTTCTGAGATGTGGCAGAGTATGTTTGAACAATTTTTAGCTTCGCGAAAAGAAGGAGCGAGCGAAAACGAATATACCACTGTTTCGAACAACCAGACCTCAAGATCCCACTTCGGCTTGAGCAAATAGCATCATTATTCCATTTGAATCTGAACAACCAGAGCACATGATCTCAGTTCAGTCAGACTGGTTGCCATCATTATCACGCCCAGTTTCGAGCAAGCAGACCTCGGTCATGTAGCTTGCTTTGTATGTTATGAGCTTTGTTCCGCTACACTGAAGCTATTCACACAACCAGACCGGTTGTGTAGTCTTATATACTAGGAAATCCTGTTTAATCAAGTGAGGCTATTCTCACAACTGATTCGATTGTATAGCATATGCTACAAGTCCTTCTCAGCTAACGTGAGGCTATTTGCACAGTAAATTCAGAGGATATCCGTATCCCGCGAAGCTCATTGTACTCAAAAATGCCTCTATTATCCGATCTCCTGCTCTTCTTTCATCCTTACTTCTCCCTCTACCTTTGTTTCTCTATCATTTTTCTTCATTTTTCTGCTCGACTCCGTTTATATCTTCATTTTAATTTGACCAAATCAGAGAATACCTCCTAAGATTCAGATTGTTGAGTCAACTGTTTGCCCAACCTTTGTCTTCTGGCTGTTAGTTTACTTATCTATAATGAAAGTTGGTCTCCAAGGCAACCCTCTACACTGCTTGCCCGAGGCTGTCACATTTCCAATTAATTCACCTTTGATATTGAATATTAGGCGAGACTGAGGGTCATCCGACTCACAGTTTTGTTACATCATCAAAGAGACTTATTACACTACTAAAAAAACTTTTATATCCTTGAACTCCATCCACATCGCAAGGCAGAAACAAAGATTAAGACTCTTTCACCACAACACCCAATATGGATAGAAAAAGGTTCGTATCAGAGTCGGATGATTCAGATATCATTAAACTTTGTTCAGTTCTTCTACCAGAGATTGAGAGAATTGTCAAAGATCGCAGGGTTCCAGAAGGGTCGCAAATTCGAATTCTAACGCGAGATTTGTTGCAGTCCGACGGAACAATTTCAGTCCTGAGAGAGCTTACACAGGCAACAAGGTTCCCTTTGGATAGGAAAACGCACCCAAAAGGGGTAGCGAGTACTGAGGTCTCAAAAGCTTTGGTTTCTCTGTTCAACCAAAATGTTCAAGAGGGCAATACTATGGTACGGGACGTTCAATGTTACAGATCGACCACGCGCGGTAATCGACATCCAACAGATGGCAATGCACATCGACGCAACCCCAAAAACGTTGGTGCCACCACATTTCGGAGATCTGTGACGAGCAGTGCTAGTAAAGTAGTGCCTGTCAAACCGTGAGTCTCTCATTATTTATGGTTGTGCTTGACGTGAACGTGAGGAAAGGCCGTTAACATTTGGATTGTATCAGGAGTTTTCCACCAATTCTTCCACCACCAGATCGAAGAGTTTACTTCTTGCAGGGTCACGAGAAGTCAGATATGCCTTATCTCGCACAATCCGACTTCCCACCCTGGGTTACAGTGTGTGAAGAGAGGCTATTTTACATTTGTCCTTTGATACGCTTTGCATTTGAAGCGAAACGGATTGGAAGATTATCGGATCCAGAAGACAGAGCACTTTACGACCCGGAAACAACCAGCAAGAGGAAAAGATGCATCGCGCAATCCAAAATAGTTTATCTGTCGGAGTTTATAGCCTCATCCTATCTTCGCACAGAAGACTATGCATGTTATAAATACAATTTACAGATACTTGACGGCTGGACTGGAGAAAAGCTCTGGCTACACACCATGACTTGGGTTTTGTTCGTGGATGATCGTCACTATATCGAGCGTATTGCTTCAGAATCAGCATTGGATGAACTTTGTATGCTTGGAAATTTTCTTGGTGCAAGCAAGCCGGTAACCGCCGGTCTACGAAACAGCTATCGTGTCTATAACGTCCGGAGTAAATGTAAAGGTTTAGCTGGTTCTTCTGATCAGCCAGACACTGGTAAGTAATGCCTCTTGACTATTGTTGGGCTTGAGGGATGAATTCATGATGCATTGACTAACCGAACGCGCTTTTTAAACAGCTACTTCACTCGCCAACAAAGCATCTTCGCAGTCATATTTATCCCCTGCGGACGAGCCAGCAAGAAAGAGAATTCGCGATAACTGGTACGTTGCCGACGATGTCCAGAATGACATTCGGGACCTGGGATGGCGGCTACGGGATGCTTGAAACGTGAGTGAGTACCATGAGTGACGGAGTTGGTCCAAAGAATGTGGATATAACACTGTATAGGTAACGGTCGAAGCGGCCGATTGAGTGGGGGTATTTCAAGCATCGGGCCTGATATACCCGCGTTTGCAGGAGATTGAATGCATCAGGATAAAGTAATTTTGAGTTATTACGTTACTACCGGTAGTTCCTTTGGACATCTAAACCATCAAAAAATTGCATCGAAACGGTGGGCCATGTTCTTGCTCTTCTGAAATATAAAGCTTGGTCTACCTCGCGGATTTGTGCAACATCTCTCGAGCTGATATTTTGGATAGCTCAGCTATGTTCGTGTCCGAATCAATCATTGCTCTCTCAATTAAACTCGCTCTATCGCTTTTCATGTGTACAGACTTTCCTTATCTGTATGATCTCCATATGTACCGGGGTATGACTGCACAACAAGGGTGTGCATATACAACCAATATTAAGCTAGATAGGACTCAGCCATTGATGTTGACATCATGATGTGATTGTAAAATTCAAGCACGCAACCTAATATTGGGTGGAATACTTGTCTTTAGTTGAGAGGTGCTGCAATCATTGCTTTTATATGTCTTCATCATCTGTATTTCTTTTCTTCATTTAATTCCAATATCTCAATAATCTATTTGTACATCTCCTCTTGGTGACTATGGCGCAGGCAGGCGGTAACAAATCAGTAAGCTTTTTCGGAAACTAGGACTGCGATGAGTATTTACACTACTTGCAAAGTTTCGGTCGTTCATCTGGGATACGGACACGCATTTGAAGTCTGTCGAGGAGCGAAAGCTTCTCCGAAAACTCGACGTTGTTATACTTATTATTGGATGCCTAGGATTCTTTGTAAGTAAAATCAGGAATCGATACTTCATTACGTTTTCCTTGAACCTTGCTGAAACTGGGCATATTTAGCTGAAGTGTTTTGATCAAAACAACCTTACGAATGCATATGTTGGGCATGTTTACTTTCCACCAGAATCTGGCTTTCAAATGATCTATTAAAAAGTATCACGATAGTGGAATGCAAGAGGACTTAGAGATGTATGGTAATAAATATACCTATGTCTTGAGCGCTTCCCCAACTAATACTCCCCTAATACTCGGTGCTCATGGATACTTATAGGGGACTCTATATACCTGCGCATATGCAATCATGCAATTAACCTTCACCCTTATCATTCAGAAAGTCCGACCAAGTATCTGGCTGAGTCTCATGGAAATCGGATGGGGAATCTTTACTTTTGCCCAAGCTGGAATGCACAGTGTCTCTATGCTTTTCGCTTTCTAGTTGGACTATTTAAAAGCTCATTCTTCCCATGTATGCTCTTCATTTTGGGTTCATGGTAAGTGATGCACACGAAGTATTCACATCCTAAATAATAACCCTTTCATTCTACAGGTACACCAAAACAGAGCTCGGTAAGGTCTAAAGGTCTAAATTGTAAAATATCCTTAGACCGCGAGGTGACTACCATATAGCCAAGCGCATTGCGATATTTCACATGACCGCACCCCTTGGAACAGCATTTGGTGGGTATCTGGTATGCACATTTAAGCCCCTGGAATTTCGAATGCTCACAGATTCTACAGCAAGCTGCAGTATACACGAACCTCAACGGAAGCCATGGCCTAGCGGGCTGGCGATGGCTCTATATCATCTGTGGCGTATTTACTCCATCAATAATAGGTGTGACTTTTACTTAACTTTCACTTAACTTACCCGATGCTAGATAATGACCCATCCTGTTAGATTTGCCACAATATTTCTCCTCCCGGATACACCGCATACCACACGCGCCTGGTATGTGACCAAGGATGAATGCACAATTGCAGTGGAACGAGTCGAACAGGCGGGAAAGGTGCCTCCTGCTCCAATAACGTGTATTGGAGCCAAAAGTTTGTTATCTGCACAATCACTATGCAGTATATATCCCAATAACGTGGGCCAAAGTCAGACGCATATTCACCAGATGGAGTATGCCCGAGCTAAATTTTCAATCATGTATTGTTCACCAGCTGAAATGTTGAACAGGATGGTATGCCCTTGTTCTAGGCTACATTGTGAGTCTCTAATTTTACCCTCCCCAAATATAAACTTATTCTCTCAAATAGTTGTATGGAACAAGTTGTGCAGCCAGTGGTTATTTTGCCATCTGGCTCAAGGCCGAGAAATTCTCAGTCCCTCTACAAAATGTGATTCCGTCAAGCGGTAGCTTAATATCTGCTTTCTGTATAATTTTATGGGGTTTTGGTGCCGATTACAGTGGCAGTCGATTTGCATTTGTGATAGGACCATTGGTATGCTGGATCCCTTGACTCCGAGAAGAAACTCGAGGGCTAACATACGCAGGCCTGTGGCTTAATCCCTAATGGAATCCTTGCCGTTTGGCCCGCGAGCGTTAAGTTGAAGGAGTTTGCTTTTCTTACGAACGGTGTTCAGGTTATGACTGCAGTTTTTGTAAGTCACACACTCTATGAGGTCATTACTTGCGTGGTGGCTAATCTTATGTACTTGTAAGTTACGCTTGGGCCAATGAGATATGTGCAGGAGATAGTGAGGAGCGGGCTATTGTTCTGAGCAGCATGAATTGTCTACAATATGCGTTAAATATTCTGCATCCTAAAGTCATAGGGAAATCACTAACAGGTTCAAAAATAGGTAGCAGCATGGCTCCCTATAGTTATATTTCCGCAGACCGAAGCACCTAAATTCCGTACATATCTCTCCAGTGTTAGATTCAGACAGAATAAATCCTTAATCGCGATACACAGGTCGTGGCTTTCCTGCCACATTTGGACTCGTGATCGCGGCTCTCCTCTCCATTTTACTCATTCAGTTCCTTCACAAGCGTGAATTGAGGCAACAGAAAGGGGTGAACCACGAAGATAGTGAAGCGATGGATTCGGAGGAGGCTCTGAGTGTTGAGAACGAGAACACGAAGAGGGTTGCGACGGGCAAGTTCCAGGAGCTTGCCTCAGCTGGAGCAGTTCATTCTTGATAGGGTTGCGGCGGGTACTTGAAAATGAGTAGTCGCGACAGCATAAATGAAAGAATAGGTAGAGCTTGGTGTATAGTTACATGCTAGTAACAACCTGCGAAGCCATGAGGGCGATTGTCCGATGGTTGAGGTCGTTGAATTTCAAATAAAAGATTTAGAGCTATCCAAAGTCACTTGGAGCACTGTCTATCACAACCATTGCAAATCTTTACCGCGAAACTCCAATGAAATTTTGAATGTTTCGTGCTTGAGAAATTAGAATCCTAGCTCAAGATTTATATTATTTGGCAAAACATGCACCATCGTACTGCCAGACTATTTATGAGGAAAAAATAGCCTGCGTGTAAAGAGGCCATATAATTGTACTCGTAGTGGTCACACTTATCAATAGTGACTCGCAAATGCTCCAATGTACATGGTACCGGTACATGAAACGCTTCTAGAATGAGCTAAGAACTAACGTGACACTGTCGACCCTAAGCCAGAGAATCTATTCTACTCCATCAGCTAATCAGAAGAAGTATGCAGCCATTTGCAATTAGTGTATAAGTAACAATTTCATCAAATAGGACGTCTCTGTAATAACGGAGACGGCTTGGAAGGAAGAAAGGAACAAGAGAAAGAATAATGTACTAAGATAAGTAAAGAATCTAAGTGAAGAACATCGATAAATCGATTCATTGAGAATCAAGAAGCTAGAGGAGAATGAAAGGAGAAGTATACGCGTCCCTGAGCTTGTATACTGGGAGTCATTCATATGAGACGATGTTGAATGGTCCAAGATTTCGCCAATTCTATAGTGGGGTGGGTTCATGGATCGAAGCACTGGCAGGGAATAAAAGCCCGCCTTTTATACTGGAGTGCCCCGTTAGTCTCATTCGTCGTGTTGGTTTTAGTTTCAATCACAATTATTTAGACCGAGTAGTTTTTAGTCCGGGCCAATCCGGTGGGAAACGGAGATGGGGACAAAAGAAAAGTTCGTGGATCTATAGCTTTCTTCTATAGCTTTCTTTCTTCGTCAATTGATTCTCTTTCCACAACCTTTTTGTTGGTTTCTGTTCTTCCCCTGCTCTGTTCTCATCCCTTCTTTGGTCTGCTTAGTAGAAGAAGAATAAGATGGTGAGTAATATGTCCCATGAATTGGAATCTAAAACACAAATCGGATGCGGAATACTGGCGATAGGGAGGATATGCAAAGCTGCATGTCAGAATGAGGTTTCTTCAAAAGCCTGGCATAGTGCTATTAAAATCTGTTACCCGTGAATGCTCGTATGTTTTGGTGTTAGGATGAAATAAAGCTATTTATGTATTGTGGGCGTATGAGATATCTAGACTAGCCATTGAAGAATGTCTGCTCGTGAGTAATAGTCATACTAATCGCTATCTCGACCGGAATGCGAGACCTTTTGGACCTTGACTCTTGAGGAAGACACTATCTGTAAAATTGAGAACTAGCATTGTATCCAATAGTCTTGCAGTCTTCCGTCCGGACGGCAATCTAGACAACTAGTCTGTGATTTAATTGAACTACAAGCTAGACTAGCTATATGAAAAACCTAGTACATCCTGTAGTCCAGACTATTGGACACACTGAGAACTAGATGATCCGTTCTATTCTCTGCGATCTATCGTGTATGTGGCATCTCTGTCCTAGTGATGATGTACTGTATTGATAGGTGTATCGGATTTCAAGCTCTTTCAAAACACTTATCTGAAATCTATGATGTAATCAAGCGTATTAACGCCGAAGTTTATGTCCAGACCTTAAAAAATATTCAATTATTTTCATACCATATTTGAGGAAAAGCAAGGAACTTTAAGGAGCTGACTGGGTACATTATATGGTCGGTCCTCATTCTGGAGTGTCGAGAATAACTATCCAAAAGTGTGTGCAGATGATAGAGGACTGATTCCGTCCATTAACTCAGAGAGAAGAACCAGTAGTCTGGCTCGTCCAATTTCTCTAATCAATAAACCAGTTCATCTAATACTTTCTAAAATCAAGCTTAACCATATACCTACAAGCCTACAGTCTATCCACTGTCTCAAGAGAATAAACTGATGGCTATCACTCTCTTTCTATCCCTAGCTGCCAATTATTATATGTTGTGATAAGTAGCAAATCGAGAACAGGAGCGTGCCGGTGCACGTCAGGAGAAAATTGGAGAGCACATTGTATATCAAATTGTACAGTGAAAAGGATTATAATCAACAATATAAAACTACCATGTAGAGATATCATGAGTAGGCTGCGCAGAAATACTCCGCTACCCGTGGGGACCCGTTGATGATATTTTAGACCCGCGGGGGACCCATTGAGCTTTCAAAATTATCCGCCCCGCAAATACTCTGCAAATTTATTAATTTTTATAATATTAATATAATTTTTATAAAGATTAATATAAAAACCAATATATTTTTATAATTATACTAATATTATACTAATATTATATTAATATTTATAACATTATAAAATTTATATCTGCGGAGTATTTGCGGAGTATTTGCAGCGGATACCCAACGGGTCCCCATTCAGATTTTCTATTATCCGCCCCGCAAACGGAGGACCCGCGGGGGACCCGCCAGGCCAATAATCCGCCCCGTGGGTACCCGTTGCGCAGCCTAATCATGAGAGCCCCAAGTGCACTGGAATCCATTATCTCTCAAATAACAGATATGTAACTTCACAGAAACCCAAGCTAAAAATCAATCCCATAGCTCCATATTTTTCTGTCCAATGTGACAGAAGCTTCAAAATCCGTATCTTTAACGAACCCCGCAACATTCATAATTGCACTTGCTGGATTGTTATCGTGTAACATATAAACAAGCTTTTACGTCTACACTGGAAAAATTGCGGCCATCTAGATCCTCTAGATGAGTTTGCATGAGTGTTCAGCCTGCACATCAGAACTTGAAGCTCAGGACGTTGGATATCTGTCTACTTCAGACTATAACCTGGGAAGTTGGTATTGCGGGATAGGACTACACTACTACAGGGTTCTGTTCACCTAATAGTCAATCTCCTTAAGAATGATTAATTTATCCTTCGCATACGAGACGAAACGTAACTTCGGTTTGAAATTAGGCATTCGAATGATAAAGTATGAATCAGGCTAGTTTAAGTTTAGTCTCCAAGTCTTCACGCCTTAAAAGAAAAACTCAAAGTGCATCTCGGAGTCAAGCTTTGCGTGATGAGTGAGACTTCAAAATGATTTGGTATGTGTATGTGAAGTTGGTTCCTTTTGGTTCTCGGGAGTTGCTGTAGGATAGAAGGACAATAAATGCTCAAACTGATGTTAGGAATGGATAGAAGTAGCTCAAGTTATATTTGGAAAAGAAGGAAATACTAAAAGTACGCCTAGAATATGAGGAAAAGTCCCGCGCATGCTTTCATTTTTTCCGGGCCATACCGCAATATCCCCATTATGAAATGCCCGACGTACATTTCGAAATGAGCTAGCTCATAGGGCAATATCCTAGCTCATACGATTCATGAGGGCATTCCGAAATGAGCTAGGTTCATTCGCAAATGCCCTAAGGATCTACCCCACCATATATATATGAATTCATTTCATATTTTCACTCTCTTCTCTTTATACATCTACCAACTCTTCCTACATCACCTTTTAATATCATAATAAAAGATTCTAATTTTAAATCTAAAAAGTGTTTGTGATTACGTTACTAATTTAATATTATATATTGGAAAGGTTTATTTGGTAAAGGAAAAGATAATTGGAAAAGCTAATAATGATGTGAGTGATAATAAATTGAAAATAGGGGCAACAACAAGGTCGAAGACCCTTTGTCTATACATAGGAGTAAATGTTAGCAAATTGATACTATAGGGAGATCAAATTGATGTATATACTAGCTCATTGCACAATACATTTAGTTTATCGCACAATGTACTTAGTATATAGGAAAATGAATTTTCCTATATACTAAGTTGATTTCGAAATGCCTTCATCTCTTTATATTTCGAAACAAGCTAGCTTATACCGAAACCTAGCCCGTTTCGAAATGTACGTAGGGAATTTCACAATGGCGATATTGAGCAATGGCCTGACACACATTAACCGAGGTATAAGGTTAATTTAAGATGAATATAACGCTCGATCATACTTACACTTCTCTCCTCCACTAAATCGCCAGGATATGAGTTAGCGCTATATCTAACTGCTAGTACAAAACGCAGCAAGTCAAGGTTGCTACCGTTTTGATGGCTAAAGCCTTGAGTAATTATAACTCAGAAGCTTCGATCAGAGAGAGTACTACAACCTCCCTGTAGAGGTTGAATATGAAATTATATAGTTCTTGGCAGCTCTCGAGAAGATACACTAATTGTATACTGAGAACTAAGAAGTTGGAGTGTACTAGTCTTCAAACCCTTCGATAATATAGACAGAGCTCCATGAAGAATAGAAATGATAGACAGTATTGACTTTAAAGGCTTCGATGAGAAGACCTTAGTTATAAAGTAGATTCTGAATGTTGAATAGTACTACATTTGACAGGTTCCGAAGGAGATATATTGAAGATAGATTGGATTTAGATGTTTATGAAAGATTCTCTTAGAAGGTTTTGATATGATAGCTATACTATACAGCCAAGAATACACTATTGAATGTGATTAGTCTCCAATTGCTCCGACAATATACAGATAATGGATTTCAGAAGGTCAAATTCCAAGGGATACTAACTTGAAGAGTCTCTATGAAGAGAGAGAAAACACGTCCAAAGAATTGTCATAAAACAGTCTACTAATCTCATAACCTTCCGATATTATAGTTGAAGTTTACTTTGTGGAATAGATTATTAGAGGTTAAGATGTAACCACCTTATGTGAATAGGGACAAAGTATGTACAAAGAGTTAGTATAATATAGCCAGAACTTTCACAAACTTTCGATGACACGGTTAAAGCATGTTTTGTAAAATAGAGCATTGAGAACACTAGTATGAACAGCCCATACAAGAGATACACAACTATGATGTAGCACTAGAAGAAGATGGTTGCTAGCTGGAAGTTTTGACAAAAATTTACAAAGTGTTCAATGTTTAGAAAAAGTAGGATGACTTCTCTCAAGGGTATTCGACGAGATTGTGAAATAGTTCAAAGAAAATGACATTCTATAACTACATTCAAAAGGTACTCTGGCAAGGAAACAACCATATCTATCATATTTTCTGACATTTGACACAATTTCACTATCAGTGCCCCCGTTCTTTTCTCTCTCAAATCTTCTTGGCGAAATAGTTCTCACCCCCAAAACCATGGGCCCGCTTTCTCTTTCTATTGTTTGGGTCATCACTCCTCATTTTCGTGCCCCATGTGACTTCGAAGAGTCTAATCTTTTCCCTCGGTGCCCCGAGGGATTTTCCAACCGCGAGGACTAGATCTTCTTTCAAAGCTAGTTCTTCTGGGGTACGTTGAGGTGGGCTACCTGACCCATTGGCATCCGCAAAAGAGAGCCAAAATTGAAGAGCGAGCCACATCATATCGGCTCCTTTAGGCCCCTTGGTGTAGCTTTCGACCTCTTCATGTCCTTCCCACTGTTCAAAAAAATCGGAAACAACCTCGTCATAGAACATTTGAGGGTGGAGACAGTATGGTTTCTTCTCCACGCTGTGTACGGGATGCCAAACGTGAGAATCACCTACTTCGTCCGTAGAACCACTCTCTCTCATAACAAAAAGTTCTGAGAGTCGAGGTGCTGTCTCATAAAGAGTTTTCTTCCAGCATCTGATATATTGTGACGTTCGAACGTTTCCCCAATTAGTTGCCGCTAGTCTTTTCTCAATCTCCACAGATAAACAAGTTCTCGGGATAATAACAGCATTCATGCCTTCGGCTGTGCCTACTCTTGGAGCTAACGGTGCATTTGGTATTGAGACATGTGACGTTAGCTCTTGGGGTAAAGGTCGAGAGTCGCTTGGCGAGCTATTTCAGAATATGGTATTAGCCAAATTATCTGCAAAAGTCTCTGATTCGGGGAAGAAGTAGGACTAACCGGGTAGTCTCTAAAGGATCAATAGGGGCATTTCCATCAACTTTATCAGCAACATCACTGGAAGCATTGCTCGGAAAATCGCTGGGAACACTGCCGGGAACATCGCTGGGAATATCGCTCGGAACACTGCTGGCAACGTCGCTAGGAATATCGCTGGGAACATTGCCGGGAATGTTGCTAGGAATATCGCTTGGAACATCGCTGGAAACGTTGCGTGTGCTACTCTCATCATCGTCATCTGCTTTGATTATTTCCGCATCCCTAGATACTTCATCGATATTCCTCTTGATAGAGCCACTGGGGTTTTGGAATGGCACTTGAAGACCATACTTGATCGCAGCAAGCTTCATAGACCGAATGCTTGCGCCAGAAAAGTCAGCCACAGAAAGAGTTACTTGCTTTTGTTCTTTGGACCAAGTGATTGGAAAGTTGTTTCTGACCAACCACTTATGCCAATGGTAGAGATGAGAGATAATTGCTGATAGTCCAAGGTCATTGATAGCATCATAGCCGTTACGCTGAATAACAAATTCGCATCGCATTAGTTCGTTCAGGTAAATACATCTATCTCTGACGGTGGACTTTGGGTCTCTGGAGTGATGTGTTGTTGATGGGTCGTAGGAAATTCTGTCGAGCGGATCAAAATCGGCTTCCAAACTCTTGAGAGTAAAAACATGACGGAAAACAATGGAATTCTTTAACAAATGTTGAGTCTGAGAGATAACAACTTGCGGCTGTTGAGGAGCATCTAAAGGTAAACGACAGTCCTCTTGGCGCTCTATTATGATGAACTTCTCGTTCTATTCATTATCTGACTCCAAAATAGTGGTGATTGTCGCGCTCAAAGCATGCATCTGCTGTTCCAGTAGAGTTTTGGTCGCTTCTTCGATATCTTTATCGTCATCAGGCAATAGTTCAGATAAGCCCTTCAGTCTAGCTTTGACGCTCGAGAATGGCACAGTTGATGATGTCTCGGATGCCATATTGTATGCGTAGTGATAGAGAACAGATTATTTATGATGAAAACGAATCTGGAAGAGTATAGTCTGTTGGTATCAATAACAAGATACAAGAGGTTAAAAGGGATGAATGGATGTATTTTGATGGATGGGATAGAATTATGGAAGTGGCCTTGAGAGTTGTGTAGTTGTGTAGTTGCGAGGAAACGTGGATGAACTGCAGCATGCAACTTGAAAACTATAGGAAGAGATTGGGATGCCAGTACGCCGTTGTAGTGAATTATGTACGGTCGACTTCTCGTGTCAACCCCGTACCAAACTATTTTTGACTAATATAACTTCAGCACCTCACAATAACTAAAGGCTCCAGCCTGATCAGCTTGATGAGGCTGAGCCTTACGAGATAATTTCTTTTCAAAAGTCTAAGCACACGAAGCTCCGATTGTTCATGAAATGACACCGCCACGGGCGGAGCTAGACTGTGAGCCTAAAGCTCTTGTTAATATAGAATATAAAGTACCAGAGAAGTTGATTGGCGGGTGAGTGTTTTCTTCGCCAAGATGAAAGATAAAAGACTAATACAATTATAATGAATAGAAGTCTTGGTAAAGGTCATAGTGACGTTAGGGAACTTATGGCTCAAGCATACCACATGAGTAAGAAGGGAGACAATCCACGGTTCATCAGGATATCGGAGACTGCTTTGTTCGAGATCTTACCCGTTATCCGTTCTTGTTTCGATGCGAAAATTCGCGGAGCTTTCAACAACAAGAATGCCATATGTTACGATCCAGAAAAGACCGCAAAGCCGCGACGATGGCACGAGTGGGATATATATAGCATAGCACATTTGTGCAAGTATTTGGCACTCTACACCAAACTTCGTCTTACTCTATTTAGCAATAACGTCTAAATTGTGGACAAGAAGCTAGGAAAACGTCCAGCATCTCCGAAAACGGATGAGGTTACGGAGTTGAGGGTGGCCATTGATTTGAGTGGCGATACACCTCCCCCTGGAGAGCAGTCAGCTCACACAAGAAGCCAATCAACTAGGTTCAAGGAGGAAGAACTACTTTTATTGTCAGGAGTAGAATATCTCCGATTGAATGGGTTTTCGTCACGCTGTTACATAAAATTATATAGAAAATTAAGCTAATAATAGCCATATTAATTTTGCGTATCCATCTTCAAGCCCCCTGGCCTCCCCCGCCGCCCGAGTATACAAGATTAAGATTCTTCGAAACTCAAAGCATATAATAATGACAATCATACCATAAGAGAGTCCTTTGGGTTCGATGAATAGGACCAAGGGCCCTATTAGATAATGGTACCGTCGGATTCCTAAATCGTAATAATGAGGCTATACCTGTATTATGCTTGAGTGTATTCTAGCTCTACTTTATATAAAGCCCCTATTCCTAGGTTATATATAGATGCAATTGAAGTGCAGTGCCACGTGCCATATAAGGAATGACTAATCGAAGCTCGCCTATCTACTTAATCTAAAGTACACTCAACACTAGCAATCGAAGTATCCTGACGAACAATGCTGTTGGCTTACCGGTCTATACTTCGATTTCAAACCTCGGAATGAAACCATGACATCTTGAGAAGGGACCAAATGCTTTACATACATACCGGTATATATTTATTTTTTTGCCTCAATATAATAAATAACAAGCTACGGTTGCTATGTCTTCTTTTTGGTAGATATGATGGCAGTGCTGTTGTTGTGGGGCATAATGATAAGTTTAACCGATGATGAGCAGGTGTATTCGCCAATCGTTGTACGTATCGTATCTGGTGCTGTTCAGATATATGTCCACTAATACATTCTTCCGGTATTGGCTGGCCATCAGGGAACTTTTTTATGGACAACACCATGCTAGTTATCTTTTATATTGTTATTAACGACATATCATGTGTTTAGATTTTGACAAGTACAGATGTTCATCGAACTAGATTAGTATTAGCAGGTTCTGGGTGATACTACTAAAGCTTCAGAGCACTATCCGATTTTAATGTCGATATCCTCAACTAGATATATTCAAATGTTTCTGAAACTAATCCAGCGAGATCCAAGGTGATGGGATGCCTATGAATGCTCCGCACTAACGTTTTGAAAGTGTAACAGACTTCAGTATATGAAATCGAGTATGCTAATACATTACACTCCGTTATGCTCAACCGTAAAATGATTTTAAGTTTACAATCAGAAGAGTTTTGATTTCCTCAAACCCTTCCGTCCCCAAGATTTGATATCGTTGGCCGAGTTTCGATATTATGCAATATTTATCTCATAAATTTGCCCCATAAATTGAAGGATACCGCAGAGCTTCGCGATGCTATAGATTCGATAGAAGCAGAATGTACCGGCGAAAATATGAAGAACTGAATGACTACAAGGACAAAGGTTTTAACAAAGACAGTTCGTATTGCTTTCATTGGTGACTGGCTCTACTGATCGTTTTACTGAATTGGCGATAATTCTGACTTAACTAAACCATTATAGTAGCTTTAAAGACCAAACATCAGTCAGTTGCTACGAAAGTCCTGTTCAAAGCTCACACATACTCCAAAATAGACGGCTTAATCTCGAAATACCACGACAGCTAGGCTTATGAAAGTCTGGGTTTGGGCGAGGAGGATCGACAACAAATATCACAATCATTTAGCCTGGATACCAGCACACTTCACCATTCTACTGCGAGCGACATCAGTACTCAAATTTTGGTCGGCTTGGCGAATACAAATCCAGCCAGACTGAGTAGGTATGCTTGGAAGAGGTTGAAGAGACGCAGTACAGCTACTAAACGCCAAAGAATCCATAAGATGTAGCTCGCTCCGAAGTGAAACAACAAGTTCATGGTACTAGTGAGCAAGTTCAAGATGATAATCATAATAACATGGATGGGGAACAATGCGCAGGTGAGCACTTATCATACTAAATTCGCTAAAATCTTCAGATGCCTAACGAACTAACAAGTCAAAACCACAACCCAGCCTAAACATCGGATGCCCTAACACGTGCCTTTACAAAGGCATCAAAATATTCGGCATGCCACAAGTCTCGCTCATCCCAACCTTGCCACAAGGCCCGATCTAGCTGGCATCGCTCAACAAACATCATCATCGGCGCGCAACGCACATCTTCATCCCATGATAGCATTTTCTCCGTGACGCTTCCTGGCTTTTTGAAATATTCCAGTACTTCATCCCAAAGCAATGTAGGTCTACCGTCACGGTCTTTGCCCACCAATTTTGACATGTCTCCGGTAGCGAAGGCTCCCGATTGTAAGTCCTGCAGAAGATAACCAATTAATTTCGAACCCTGCGATGCCGTTTCTATGTGTACACGAAGAAAACGTGGATATGACTCGTTGAGTTGAATATTGACATATGGTCGCATGGATGGAAGTCTCTCGCTAGTAGAGGTCGATAAGGGTACTTTCTTCAACTTCTTTGGAATGGTGATCGATTGGGATGTTCCCTTCCGTTTCTGTAAAGTAGCGGTGTTGTTATCAGTCAAATCAATGTCATCCGATCTCTTGACTTTTTCCGTCTCGGGTGCTTTCAATTGGTTTGCTGTTCTTTTCACTGCACTTGGTCTACTTTCAAGGCGTGCAGGCTCGACGGTAGGGACTTGTCGCATGTATGAGATTAGTGTGCTACGTACAGCCTTTTCCTTCATCTCCGTGTTTCCAAAGAAAGATGCTAGTTGTTCAATACCTCCCAATTCGATAGCCCAAAACTTTTCTGAGCGGCCAATTTTGGAACCTGAGTGTAAAGGTTTTCCATTGAGCTTCAAGTCGAATAGTGAACGAATGACCGGCAGTTTCTCGAAAATAATTGCTTCTGATGCCTGCATGAAGCGAATCTTTGCCTTGTTTTTGCCTTGGAATACCGACTGGATTGTGATCAGTTTGGAACGCTTCTGGTCTCCCTTTATCGTACTAGGCCTATGAATGATGTTAGTCTTCGATACATCATGATTTACAATTCATATTTCATCTTCCAGCATCCAATAAAGATCAACCATATCCAAAGAGCAGACACCACTTACAAAGTCTTCGCGATGTGCGGTTTCTTGTTTTTCAATGAGCCATCCATGATTTCCGTAAGCCAAAGTCTTTAGGTACCAAGGCTGTTTGAACTATAAACTTTGTATCTGTAATAAAGCCAAGGTGGGTTGAAAGAGATTAAGTTGCAGTTGGTTGAATTTCATTGTCGGAATATGTGTCGGAAACAAGTGGTTGTAATGTATTGCTTTGGCTCGCTTAGATACAGTAGTGCGGCAATATACGGTTCAGTAGACGGCTCAGCCTTGCAATTATCACACTTTATGGATCAAATAAATTCAAATTACAGTCTCTTCTTCCCACTCGCACCCAAAGAAGTATGAGCCAGCATTGCTGCACTTCAAGCAGTATGAACCAGATCACCTTAACACATAGGCCCAAGCTTCCTGAATCCGCTGCAAAGGTTAGGCCAGAAGCTATAGCAGCAGCTAATCAAAGCACAATTGAACTGTCATTAGGCAGAGAAAGTATGTTTTGATATTGTCTTTATTGTCATCCGTTGTATCACTAATTTCCATTGCCCTTTAGATTCCTACCATAAACTTAACGACACCTCTAAAGAATCAAGCATAGCCAATACAAGGGTCACACAACCACTCGCGCAACAGAATTCAGATGAACAAGGGTCGTTTACAGCCACTGGAAGGTTGATGAAGCATCATTCTGCAATTGATGAAAATCTCATGAAGAGAAAAACTGTACCAAGCCTCATGAATGGAGCTGCAGCCGCGGGTGGAGTACGAAGCAGATGTGGAGCAATCAGTGCTGTAGAATATGGCGCAACGAATATAGAGCTTCGCGCAGGTACTTCCGCTGGCTTGCTGAAGGGCACTACGGATTTGCCATATTTCATGCCCGCTGGGCGACCAAGGTTGACGCAGAGGCAAAGAAGGCGGGCCAACAGGAAATTGAGGCTGCGTCTGGAGAGACAAAATGCGATTCTTGCTAGTACTGCTGATGCTGCAAGCGGGAATCACACTCAAGGCTCGGATACAGAGATGAATTGATTTGCTACATGATGAGGGCGGAGTTGTGGAGAATACTCTAGTTGTACCAGTTATCTTGGGTCATTTCTGAAGTGTACCATCTAAACCAATCTCATAACTGTTAAGTGTTTGCACTGGTCGCTCTGTTATTCTATCCCGACACTAGCTAGTAGCTGAGCAACACTGTTGGCAACAATTCCAGTGATTTCTCCTTATTCTCTCTGTGTCATAATTTGGTGCGATGGTGATTCAAAATACAAAATTGGACGACTGTGGTTGTAGGTCAGGTGTGTTGCCTGTATTGCACTAGGCCGCTTAGAGTATATGTGTGTGAGTTATATTCATACTGGAATTTGGTTATGTCAATCTGGGTTTGAACCGCTTCATACTCTATACTCCATACTCGAGTCCCGCCGCCGGCGGTTCTCCTTCTTTGGATGGAAACCGCTAAGCGGCCTTGAACTGGATTGTTAGCTAGTTTGAGGGTATGCGAGGCTGTAGATTCGAATGTATCATCGTCTACTACCTCAAGAGCATGTGCGGAGTCGCATCTCGAGAGGGTATCTGAAATCTTTGAGAAGATAGGCACGATTTGAGACCTTTATCCTTGAATTGATCGTAAGCGAGATGTTCTCCTGTCTTTTGGCAGGGATAGGTTTCATGTTTAAGAGTTCACTTAAGCACTCAAGTTGATGTGGGCTGTGCTGTATTCTGGGCATAATGAGAACGCAAACTAACCTGTAGAAAGGGGTTATGGTTCTGGAGTGCACCGTCGCCTAAACTTGCGACTCGTGTACGCCGCCATTAACATAAAAGAGCTCAAGCGGTGGCTCTATCTCCTATGTATCCTCATTATTGCCATTTTGATATGCATCATGGGGGGCCTACAATACATTCTTCCTATAAGTAATCCTCAATTCTTCACAACGATCAGAGTATGACTAAACCCTAACTCTTACCTTTCTTTCCGAAAGGTACCTAGCTCACAGTGACAATGCTGCTCACTCCTTCGCACTTTCAATTTCGCATCGATCAAGCTTGACTTCTGCTTGTCGAATATGCGATGTTTGCTAGGTTAATTGAGAACAGTAGTCTATACTCTCTGGTGTTATATGTATGATATATGGTATAACG